GAACCCATGCCATGATGCATGTGGGTGTCGTTGGTCATCTCATTTGTCGAGGCCGGTTCGCGAACAGTAGCACGTCTGGCACCGGACCAGATCGGTTGATCGGTTGTGCCCGAGTCCGGAGGAAGCCAGACAACTCCGGCAGCCAAATGAAATCGACCGGGTGGATAACGATAGTAATATAAGAGCGGGGACGGATCCGGTGGTGCACCGGGGTCGGCGCTATCGGTGAGACCCAAACCTGAACCAAATCCGAAACCATTGGAGGTAGCCTCCTGTTGAGCTGTATAGTCCCGATATCTCTCAATATGCCAAATTTGAAATCGGCCATCCACACCGGCTGTGGCCACAATCTCTTCGTTTAGGGGTGAGGGTGTAACTGCATGAATGGCACCTTCGTGACCCTGCAAAAGAGACGGAAAATGGAATACCATATTATACCAGCCAGCAACTAGCGAACAGAGTAGCTAAAACCTGGATATAAGTTTTTGACCTCGAATAAATGTGATTGGAAGAGCTTGAGACACGATCTAATCCTAATAAGGTAGTCTATAAAAAACACCTGCTAAAATGCATCACAAAAACTAAATTATTATGGACATAGAAGCAAAAGGGAATTGACAAACTTGGGCACCTCACAATTTACAAGCCAAGCAGCCAATCAACATAAAAATGTAACGATATATCGATCTGAAGTCACGAAAATACATACATCCTGAGGGTACATCTATTTCTATTGCACGAATCTGGTGGGGCAGCCGGACGAGCAACGCTGAGGTCAGGTGCAAGATTTTAGGCAACCGCGGTTGCCCACTGAAGCAAGTGGTCGACCTCCATAGATTACGCTGGTCGGGGCATGTGTTATGCTTGTCTCCAAATAGGTTGCCACGGCGAGCGAGGTTTGCCGAGGCAGGTAGTGGGTGGAATAAAGCCCAGGGTATGAAAACCCTAACCAGGAGTCTGGGTCACACGGGTCCCGTTAGGCTTCCTGGATGGGGACCTCGGGATGGTCGTACCCGATGGTTAGAGACACAGGGATATGGCTGGGTGTCGTAAACAGTGGCGTTTGTGCATCTTCTCAATTTCTCTGTATCATTAATCCACTGAACTTTTCAATTTTCTTTTCGATCGTACTTTCAACCTTTTCTGTCTTTCTCCCAATGTTCATCCAAACGGGCAGCCGATAGCACACGATAGTGCATGGTTAATTGGTTGTACAAACTGAAACTGGTTTCTATGAGCGGGGGGTAGGGAAAGTAAAAACGAGGCCTCGCCTACACTTCGTGCACGCAACATCACCTTCAAGAAGTGTTCTCGCTTTCAACCCGTCAGGGGTTTAGCAAACCAGACAACCTCTACTTTGTCATCCGCTATCACTGCTCTCTTTTATGAAGACTTTTCACTACTGCATTCCTTGATAAAACTGAAAATTCATCCTATGGGTGCATTATGACCACATACACAAAAAGATTTGAAAACGTGAGACCAACTCAGCTCAGTGTCTTTTGTTCTTGTCTACACGTAACCTCCACAAGGGTTGTCTTCATACTCAATGAGTGATTGCATACAAGAGGTAATGTAGTATACCACTTCGAAACACATCAAAGTCTAATCTCATTAATCAACTATTGCAAAAGATTGCTCACTAAAAGACTCTCTCGATTGCGCAATTTTCTCAATCGAGGTTATTAATTCGTTTAGCTTATCCACACTGGTGCATTATGATCACTCACAGTTCACAACTCCCGTCCGGTTGTCAAAGCTCTTTTCTGCTATTCACTGTTGCGAGATGAAGGAAACAAAGCAAGGAAATCCGGGAACCTATTGTTTACCCAATGGGAAACGGCAATTGGGCTGGTGAACCACATAAGTCAGATGCGGTATAGGACCGGGCGACAGCAAAGCTGCCTACCGCCAAAGTGGGGTGGGGGTGGGTGGCGGGCTCGAACCTCGGACCATAGGGTCCAAAGCACGCCAGTGAAAGCGATTAAACCACTGGGCCACCACAAATGCAAGTCATCGGCAGCCCGTTTGAACACCATTACACGAAAAACCTACGAGCTATCCATACATGAACAGACAACTCACCTCGATCACTGTCACCAATCGTCCACTGTCTCCGAAGTAGACATAAACAGAACCGTTCTTCATGGATGCGATCAAGTATTTGTCGTATTTGGACCAAGCAAGCAGACATGGTCTACACTTAATGCTGTACTCCGACAGAGAGAGAGAAAGGAAGAGATGGGGAGAGAAATGAAAAGAGTAGATGAAGAGGACCTGAATGAAAGCGAAAGAATCCGAGACAATTCTACTGCATACGGAACTCACTCCCGAGCAAACTCCAATACCGATGTGAAGAAAACTTAATTCAACCAATAGGTATAGCACAGAATCTGGTTTTGCTTTTACAGACAGAAAGAATGCGTCATTTCTTCATACCGTTGAAGCACGTTCAATAAACAAATAAAAACGAACAAGCCCGGGAGTCAAATAGATGCTGGATAACTGCACGCATTGTTACGATTCCTATTATTTGCTCCCACTAATTGTGTAACAAACACATGACGACTCCATCAATACCTATCAGTTCAATCGATGCAGTGGATCACCTAAACTCTCCATCAAATCGATGCACTTTGTGGAGACTAACACGACATCACATTCTTTTCCGGTACGTTTGTTTTGGGCAGCCCAAACGAGATGAAAAGAAAAAACGATTGAAAAACATGCAAAATAACTCATTGGATGCGATCCCTGACACTGTTTGTAAAACGGAGAAAAATAAATAAGATTTCTTAACACTCTTTGGCATCCGCAGCAGTGTGAGTGTATCATCAATCTGATCGAGTCGCGAATGGAGATGACATAACTACGCTCTTTTAGTGGGCAGCGGGAGGAGATATTGGTATGCCAAACAGATGGATGAGGAAAAAGGGGTGGATGCATTAGCAGCCTTGTTTACGGCAATCATCCCCGTGCATTGATCCACGACGGAGGTGATTCCTAAATTGTATATCAAACCTAATGCATCCAAAGAGCGAACCAAAGGAACATGAACATATACACATCAGTTTGAAAAAGGCTGACCAACGAATTACAAAACCTGTAACACTCATCCAGACAAAAGAGATGAATTGTCGATGGTAATTTGCTAAAAACATTACCTTGTCAGATAGCATAGACATTTAATCAGGAAATCAAATGTAGCTCATTAAATGAGACCGTAAAACTGCTTCATTCCACCTGAGTCGACGGCTTCCGAAAACCTCACTATGATCGAGAGCAGGTTGTTACCGGTCACCTTCTTCGACAAATGCACTGACACGATCAGGTGTCTCAACTAGCCTCCTTCTGAAGAAGTCCTATTCACCGACCTCCAGAGGCAGAATTGCTTTTCCACCGAAGTGAGAGGACGAAAAACCAACATCTGGGGCTACAACCGGGTCGGTGAACCACCGACAGTTCAACTAGGGAAGCTGATTAAAACCCTGAATTAAACCTAGCCAAGAGGTACACCAACCACACACACACACACACACATACGAAGACATTCATGGATCAGGCAGTGGTCATCGGCTCCTTGGGGCACCTTGGATGTTTGACCTCGTCCAAAGGTGGTCTGGTATGATTACCAGCACACTGCCCAACCCCTCCCGAACTGCCAGACCATCTTGCTGATCAGGCTTTGCCTGGCCGAAAGCGCCGGTTGGGCACCACTCAAAAGAATTCTCTGCGTGGTTTATGTAACTTAGTATCACCCCATTCACAAGAAAATCATGGATTCGTTTCTTTTTATGAAAATTGTTCTAGTGTAATTTGTTCTGCACACAGTCTGGACCTAGACCTGTGTGAAACAGATCGTAACTTTGTTGCTGTTGGTGAGTTCTTCGACCTGGAAGTTTTGTTCGCGAACGTTTCATAGCCAAGCTAGGCAACATCATCAGTTCAGTTCAATTTGCACAACCATTAATCATGGACAATGGTGCGCCGGTTTTCGTTGCGGTCTCTTGGTGCGCCATTCGGATAAAAGAGCAGAATAAAGATTGGAATATTGAAAGCAAATTCGAACGGAAGATACAGAATTCACACAGAACACATAGGAGAATAATGAGTGAATGCACGAGCGTCACTGTTTACGACACCCAGCCATATCACTCAGTGTCTCTAACCATCGGGTACAACCATCCCGAGGTCCCCATCCAGGGAACCTAACGGGACCTGTGTGACCTAGACTCCTGGTTAGAGTTTCCATACCCTCATGCCAGGTCTTAGTTTGACTACCCTTGATCTTTTTCCAACCGCTATCAGACTTGGAAAACCTCGCTCACCGTGGCAACCTATTTGGTGAAATGCGTAACACATGCCCCAAACAAACGTAATCTATGCAGGTCCATCACTTGCCTCAGTGAAAAAGACTGCCAATGCCTAAATCTCTACGCTTAACCTCAGCACTGCTCATCCGGTCAACCCACAGATTCGTACAATGCTGCGTAGACAGCGGTATTCGGACACCGACATTCTATCTTTATCCTGTTTCCTTAATGGCAAAGTTTCTGCTCCATATAGCGGAACTGGCCGAACTACTGCAACATATACTCGACCCTTCACGGACAACCGGATGTCGCGACGGCGCCACAGATGTCT